ACGCAAAATCATTGTTGATGCAAGACCGAGGTCAACCACTTGCGCCACGTACTCCCCTTGAATTAACGCTAATGTCAAGATTCGGATCCCGCGTCAATTTTTACTTGAAGCCGGTATTTACTTCCGTGAAATAAAAAAGATATCTGCCATAAAGGTAAAAATGAATCACACTGTGGACTTGAGAAGAATCGGATTCTAGGTCCTTTTTTGAGATTCAAGATTGAGAAAAAACTTAAAATATATAATTATATCAATTTTTTATCTATAATTATATCTATCTATAATCTATATCTATAATTGATCTATCTATAACTATAATATATCATTTTTTAAAGTTCGTTTATTCATCATTTTCTTCAACCTCGACCGGATCGATATCGAGCATGATATAAAATTTCTACTTTTGGTTATGAATCTTAATTGCAGTCTCAAGTAAAAGTCGCCTTTTGTGGATATAGCACATATCTGATATACATAGTCTATGTAAAATTTTAGCGAGGTTGACCGTTGGGTTGCCCTCTTACGAAAAATATTCGGTTAGAATGTACCATAGCAAATACAGCTCATAAAACATGTAGTTAATATAGTTTTTTAAAAAAACTCAGAACTTCTATATTGATATAATTGATACAATTATTTTACAAATTACTATTCGGATGTCCCATTCTAGTTTTCGACATAGATTTTTTTATTTGAAAATTTACCTTTTTCAATTGTGTTAAATAAAATAAACGTTAATAATTGAACATGTTTTTGTTTCACAAAATATGAAGCCTTTTCGTATAGTATCAATCAGTACATATAATTATTTATAGAGACTAAATTTTGAAAATAGCAAGAAAAAATTAAAATAAATTGTCGGTAAGAGCAGGCATATTTAGAAACAAATTAATTTAAACACATGGTAGACTAATGATAATAGTATTGATGTGATTTTATGTCAAAATATTGAAATTAAGGTAGTTAAAACGTTATGTTATTATAATAAAATTTACTTATTCAGTGAGAAGCTTTATAGTATAAGGTGATTCTGGAAGTGGATCATATGAACTCCCTGATGCCCATGACAGTTTTAAGGCGCTCCAGGTTAGCGAAATTTTTTTTGCATGGTCCACAAATTAAAAATGAAAAACATAGCAAGGGGTCAACAACACAAAAAAGTTCGGAAAGATTATTGATATCAAATTTAAAACATGACACCATAATTTTAAACATTTGTTACAGAAAGCATCTTTTCCCATTACATAATTGTACATAAAGTTTCAATTTCGTCTGCTGTTATATGAAGTGTGAATGATTGCAGAGCATGAGTGCACATATGCATAAATTACATAAGTCACAGTAGTAAATTTCTTATCTGACATGTGCAATTGAACTTTACTAATTCGCTATACAATTGCATTTGTGACCTATTTGATAATAATACTTCTTACATGCCTGTTTTAACATTTAGCGAAGACGATTGTATTTCAATTTATATTTCGAAAGGAATCTTTACATAGATACTTTCCGGTTGTACCGAGAAGATGCTTTCAGAATTGATAAGCCATTATTGATTATAAGAATATGCTAAAAAATACTCAAAGGTGATTCACGACTCTTCAGTATTAACATTTTTTTTAAATAGTTTCCTGATTTTATAAAGAAAATGGTTAACAAATATTGTTAAATGTGGCCAATAAACCTTTCATATTCGAAACGATTCTGTAGATTTGAACTTATATTTGCATATCAGGTGCGTAGCTAGCGCCGTATTAGCCGTATCAATGGTTTGGGGCCCTCAGGCTATAAGGTATTAGGTATTGTATTGTATGGTATTGGGGAAAAGTAACAGATAAATATTGATGTTATATAAATATTAATTTGGTTGTATGCATTTTTTATTTTGTAAGATATTTTTATCCCAGGTGAAGAATTAGTATACCCCCAAATAATTTTGATACGAAGCCCGTTAATGCAGGCTACGCCCCTAGTGCATGAAGTATACTAATACTTTCAATATTCAAAAATACCCTTAAAACATAACTTTTGTGGGCGTTATAAAAAGCAATAGCTAAATAAGCAAAAAAAAATTAATTACTCAATTATATAACGTCCTAATGAATAACTCCTTTATAATTATTAAACAAACTTAAAAAAAAGTTTAATAAGCTTAAAAGAAATACAGAAAATGGTTTAGAGCGCGTTATTTATGCTGAATTGCGTTTATTTATTTAGGTACAAATTATTAGATGTAAGTATTATTTATTAGATGATGTAAATTTTCAAGAAAACATTGAGCTAACTTTTCATATAAACTTCAAAATCCTCAAGTCACTAACTAATCAAACATAATAAGAAAATATTTTTTATCATGATTTTAAAAATCTCACATTAGTGTTAAATCCACTTCCCTTTTCTCACTTAAGGGGTTAGGGGTACTTGGGATTTTTGGAAAATCGATTTTTATTTTTTTGCATTTTCATTAAGGGTAACACCTTGAAAATATTCTCTGAAAATTTTAAGTTGATCCGATGATTACTTTTTGAGTTATTGGACTCTTACCAGTGCGTTGACGCAAGTGGAGAGCTCGATACTTATACTCAAGATCATTCTCCCTCACCTCCTGATGTTTTAAAAGCTTTCAAACCGATTTACGACGATCTCAGCAATGATAATTTACTTTCAAGATGTGTAGTTCAAGATTAAATCCATAATCAGAAAAAATTAAAAGCTTCAACCAACTAGTGTAAAAAATATACCTAGAAACCGTGAATACTAGTTTTACTATCGTACAAATTGCTGAATGCATATAAATAATTATTATTATTGATTATGGATACCCTAGAACCTAATTGTGGGTATAATTCCCATTGGTATGCTGAAAAATTGGATGCTGCACGTGTGAAAGTGGCAGATCAGCGCGCCAAAGAGAACACTCCGGGAGGCCAAAATGCTTCGTAGGCAACAGAAAATGGAAATTTTGGAAACTTGCACAATGACTGATGAACTATTACATGGCCCAGAAATAGATGACTCGGTTTAAGTAATTCAATAATTCGAATTTCTGTACGTAAATCCAATGTGAAACTTTAAACGCGTTTTTCTCAAAACTATGTTTTTTGAAACGGTGACCACTGTAACTCGAAAACCACTTAGTAAATTTTAATGAAATTCATACAGCATTTAGAATACATAATAAACTCGTGCCTGATCGAAGGATTTTTATTTTTTCAAAAATTTGAATTTTTTAAGACCAATTAACTGTTGATTTTTTACCCAAAAATCTAGATTTTTTCTTTCTGATGCTGCCATTTTGTTAATTTTTGCAAAAAAAAGAAAACCTTCGATCCGGCCCGGGATTAACTATTCATAAAACTATTTTTTTAATTTGATTGATTTTAGATGAATCTCCAAGGAGTTATGATGGTCACCGCCAGGACCGTTTTTTGAAACAGGGTCAACAAAAACAGCTATAACTTTGGGAATATTGATTTTTTTTTTCTGAAATTTTTGTCACATCAAGTCAAAACATTGTATTATAATGCTGTATTAATATTTTTGTAGAAAAACATCGTTTAATAACAAAGAAAATATACTGAAAACACTCATTTTTTCGTGCCTGCAAGTACACCTAACCCCTTAATGCACAGCATATATATCTTTAAAAATAATTTGTCTTCAATATTTTATGACCCTGTTAAATATTACCTAATTCAATGACAAACCAAAAAGTTCAAAATTAATTATCAAAAAACGACTTTAAAACATGTAATATTCTGATTCAACAAAGTATAAATAGTTGACTCAAAATGTTAAAAATCAAACACATAAATATAGAAAAGATAAATAAAGTGAATAATTTAATTTATATTAATATATGCAATGCAAATAGTTGAAGATATTGACATCTGCAGGTGTTATGAATAAATATAAGAATGCTAATTTTTTGTTTAGAGAAAAAACATAAGATTGACAATACAAACTAAACTAGATGTAAGTGACATTTTGCCTTAAGGCAGGTTACGTGCAGATAATCAACTCAATCAAAAAGAATTTGATATTTAGAGAAACTAGTCAATACGATTTCCAATTTACATCTTTCAAAGAAAATTATAGTATCTGTATTAATTATATGTAATATAGTGCATAATGTTTTTGTATGTCCTAAAAGCGCGGCCCATTATTCCCAACATTAATAAATTTTCATAATTCCAATCATTTTTATAGGGCTATATATTATAGGATTTTTGTATAGTCCATGAACTCTATCGTCATGTTAAGTTTCACTAAAAACGCAAAAAAAAATCCAAAGAAACGACCATGCTCATATATTTACCAAGAACTAATCAACACAATTCTCAATTATATGTTTCTAATAGTTTTTAAATATACAAAATGGGTTCGATAAATAACTTTCCACTTTTCTGTTAATAATAAAGAGGAAGCTTGGCCGATTGTACAAATAATCAAGGATAAAGACGTTATCCAGTTTCACCATGTGGCTTTAAAATTTTGAAATCACTTCAATCGTTTTTGAGAAAACGGTGATACAACCACACATACTTTTTCAGAATGATTCAGAATGACTTGAAACGTCGTGAGAATTAGCAAGTAAAATTTTCTGGCAAAAACGTAAACTTTTCGTTCCGTAAGTTAAAAATAATAATAATAAAAAAAATAAATTATAATTATAAAATATAAAAAGAGCAATTGATATTAAATTTGTTACAGTTAATTAATTTACATAGTAATCAATCGTTTTCAATCGTTTTTGAGAAAACGGTGATACAACCACAGATACTTTTTCAGAATGATTCAGAATGACTTGAAACGTCGTGAGAATTAGCAGGTAAAATTTTCTGGCAAAAACGTAAGTTTTTTGTTCCGTAAGTTAAGAATAATAATAATAATAAAATTGAATTATAATTATAAAATATAAAAAGAGCAATTGATATTAAATTTGTTATAGTTAATTAATTTACATAGTAATATATTTTGATTTTTATTTTGTAACTCACTTGTATTCTAAATTTTCGAGCCGTTTTAATTGTTGTTCATCCAAAGCGGTCAAAGCGGATAATCGCTCGGATATTCGATTAAGCCCGGAAGCATCCCCTGGTCCAGGGGAGCGCAACCTTGTCACTTCCGTAATTCCGAAAGGGGTTGCTGCTTGTGGACTTTCTGTGTTATAATTCGATTCATTGTGCGAAACGTATCTTCGTCTGTGTTTCACGTTTCTATGTCTATAAGTTGATAAACTAGGATTTATGCCTTCGTCCTCGGCTAATACATAATTAATAAATGTCAAAAATGTCACTGACACTAACAACATTGCACATGTCAAACGCCACATGTTGTACTTGTTTACTTATTCACTTCACTAGTCACTCTTCATTTATAAAACAATATTTAGCTATGGAAATTAGAAATCATATACATTATCAAAAATTAATGAATATGAAGAAGACAAATCATTAGATGTACCGACCTGATGAATAATAACGACTAAAAATATTATTGCATTTTTTTTTTAAATTACATACTAAGTTAACTCGCCCTAATATTCTTCTTTAATTTATCTATTCTATTTTAATTTATTTGATTAAAAATCTTTTAAAAAATGGCAGTATGTAAAAAACTGAAGAAATTATTAAATGTTATTTAGTATAAAAAAACGTGTATTTTTAAAGCATGCGATGCCGATGGAAAGTGAACGTTGACTGAACTCTAACTCTTCGACTGTTGACTGTTATTTTTAGCGCGAGCTTGTATAGCACACATGGTTAGTTTATAAATCGTTTTCTTTCCAATGGTCATCTTACCAAATGATGAGCCGAATCAAATTTTTATTGGTCAATTTTATTGGTCATTCAAAGTTTTGTAAGCTGCTGTAGTTTGGCTATAATTTTCCTTTTGTAAACACAGCGAGCCAAACTCTGGCATTCTTCAACTCTACCAAATTAGATGAAAACGTTTCGTACGATCTTTTTCCATCAGTTGTGATTTCCGTTAATATTTAATAACTTAAAATACAATATTTTACTTAATAAAGTTTCAGCAAAGGAACTAGACAAAATATATTTACTTTAAACGTTAAATGCGGTTATCATATTAATTGTTAAACTAAAAAGATCTCATTGGAGTTCTTCTTAGACATCGCTCTTAAATATTGTCAATTTAGCTCATAGGAATCTTTATGTATTTCTGATTGCTAAATAAAACAGAGTTAAAAAATTGCGGTTAAACACTTATTTGTCAATTAATCCGTTTCTAGTTTCTTTCGACTATCCCACAACAGTGCTCTAATTTACAAGATCATATAAAAGAATTAAACAAGTTAAAAATTCTCTTTAGTTAAATACAAAGTTAGGATCTGTGTTGCGCAATTATTCACAACAATTTTGTGAGCTTTTCTTTTCTTCTGACAATTACGAAATTACTAGACAATATAAAAGAATTATTTTGTGAAGGCTATAAAATTATATTTTATATATAGTTAAGGACAATATTAAGGGTCATACCGCACAATCATTCACACTTGTGCCGACTCAAAAATTTCTTGATTCAAAAGGTTCGAATTAGCAAAATACTTGATTCGAATCAACTTGAATCGAGCTTATATATGGAAAAGAAAGCATTTAGTTAATGTGATAAAAAATTATGAATAAAAATGTTGGCATCTTGCAACTCGAATGAGTCGAATGAGATTTAATTCAATTTTTTTTTTTAATTTTTATATTTATGAAAATATTTTTTGTCACATTTATAAAAAAATATGTTTATACATATTGTATTACAGTAAATATGTTTCGGCTAGATACAAATCGATTCGAATCATGTTGTTGAGGACTTCATTCGAATCACATTGTTGAAGACTTGATTCAAATCATTGGATTCGAGTTGGCACATCACTAATTCACACCAAATTAATAGGCATTTACTTTCCTCTGACAAACAATTTTAACTTTGTTTAAAATATTACCGCAAAATATTTACATATTTCATTTATAGTAAAATTCATAAAAAAACATTCCAACCTTCACGTAACATCAGAAACTTGATCTTGGATAACTTACACCATTACACCAGAACTTTTTAGATACAGCATTTCTTCATATAATTCCTCTATTTCTGCATAAACCCTTAACATTTCAAAAAAATAGTCTATGGAGATGACTACAGCCCTGATAAGTGATGTAATAAACATTGAATGTTATATATTATTTTAGAGTTTTTGATGTGTTCCAAACAGTCAAGGCCGCTGGAAAAAAAACTCATGACAAGAATTCGCTGAATAAATATATATAACGCCATATATACAATATATACATATATATATATATATATATATATATATATATGTGTGTGTGTGTGTGTGTGTGTGCAAATCTTCTACTCAAACCAAAAATCATCCAAAATTTGTTAAATTTTAGAAACTGTGATATTTTATTAGACACTATAAAAGAACAGGCCATTTTTATGATTGTACAGAGATTGTGTTTAAATAAATGAATATGAATAACATGATAAACATATAGTTTACAATCAGGTTTGGTATTTTATTAGAATTTTGACATTGATTTTTTAGATATTCATCCCATAGAATTAACATGTTTCCGAAGTTTCATCATTTCTATTCTAACAAGAAGTTAAGACGTCGACATGAACACAATAAACGATGAAATACGAACACATTCAAACAATTACAAAATCCGCCTCGAGGATCATCCAAACCCACTAGAAAACTAAGACACAACTCTACCAGTACAATATTGAAAAATAATTTCATGTAACATTAATATATGTCAATTTTCAAAATCTAAGATAACGGTCAGAGGATTTTGTATTTTTGAAGTCATTTTTCCAAACTACAGTGTAAGAGGACAAGTGTAAAAAATACGATATAATAAAAAAAACATTGAATTTGAATATACTGATTAAGTTCATGAACAATTTCACACAATAAACTTTCTACAGATGATAATTTCTATTGTTGTTAAAGCCGAAAAGGTCATTTTGTGTTAATGATCGAAATCTATTAAATCGTATTTTCATTTTTAGTTATATCATCTTGAAAAGTTAATAACACATAATTGTTTTTTTAAAAATACATGATAACTTCTTGCGAAAGTAAAAGTTTAAATTGTGTATTGGTGTGATTACTCAGCAATTAAAGCGTGTGAAGAACTGAAGAAATATTTGTTTATTTATTTTATCAATATAACACATTTTTACTGATTTTTTTAACCATTTTTAAATTATTAAATACAAACAATAGCTATACCTACTAAATGCCAAAGCGGACTTAGTCATTATAAATATATAATGTAGTCTTGCAATATATAGGGTAGAGTGGGACTTAAAGGTCTGCGGGTAAAATGATCGACCACCGATATCGCAAAAACAAGTAAATAATTTTTTAATAAGAATATTGAAAAGTAGAGGAAACATTATAACCATCCAACCATCACTTTGATTCTTACGACGTTACTATCGAATGGTAAATGGCAAGCTTTGAAAATCGATAATTTTGTTTCGTTGTTAATATTTTTGGATGTGAAACTGCTGTTTAGTTTACGAGATCTTAAAGGTGCGCCTCAATTACGAACGAGCACGAATGAATACGAGAAGCAAGAACGTTCGTACCAGAACGAACGCCAACGAGCATAGTGAAGACGTGACAACGAACACGAGCGAAAACAAACGAACGTAGCGAGCAATGTTCCGCACCTTGTCGGTACATCAAAGAAAATTGCTCGTTCATGTTTGAAACTCATATGTGCAGTGTGGACGCTACCACGAATGTAGACAAACATTTTTCTTCTTCTATGCTAATATGTGCATTTCGCATATGTCCTGCATAAGTTTATGCTATGATTTTATTTATTTATTATAAATAATAAAATTGACGTTTCACTAAACATCCTTGAACAAAGAAGGTTCAAGTCCTCATTGCTTTGAGACGTTTGTTTAAATTCGTTTGAAATGATTCGCCTTCGTTCGTGTTCGTTTTCGTTCTTCTTTGTATTTTCTTGTTCGTATTTATATGGAAAATATTGCTTCGAGACACGCGCGATTCGACATACGAGCTTGGTACGAAAAAAATTTGTATGTCGAAATAACACTGTACTTTATATTTATTAATATAAAATTAATTATGCATCCCAATATTAATAATAAAATTAATAATAAAGTTTATTGGATATCTATTTGTTCTTTGGAACAAAGTTAATTCCTCCTACAACAAGTTTAGGATTAAGAGCTCAGATGTAAAATTTACATATACTATAAATTTCACATATATATATATACTACGTTAAGGACTATACGTATATTATGTTAAGGACTATATGTATTTTACTATATGTATTAATATTGAATGTAATTTACATATAATATACAACAACAACAACAATAAAAAAGTCGCGCAAAGGATTCGCTATTCATTCCACATATGTGTAGAATCTTGGTAAAAATATTTTTAAAAAATCGTTTTTCCATTATATCTTCAACCAACAGTCTACGAACATATATTACACATGATCTATTTGTGATTTATTTAAATTAGTATTATGTGAAAATATTATTTAATTACAAGTTTAATGTTTATATTTCACAGTATAGTGCATTACCATGTCCTGATACCATGGATTATTAAAATCTTCTAATTTAACATTAAAATTAACTAATGTAAGTACTATTTAATTTTTTTATTTTTATTTCATTTTCACTCCAATTCAAAAAATATATTTGTACCAGATTTAGTTTTTTAATGTTGTCAGCCTTAAATTATCTTAACAATTTTTGGTTCGTATGTTACTTCGCATTGGAAAATTCGTCGTGTAGAAGTTCGTGAAAAATTCTAGTTTCTTTGATACGATATAATCGGAAGACATCGCGTTGAAAAGCAAGTGTATAATTATAAAACAATACTAAATAAAGGTTCATTTAGTGATAAATAAAATAATAACTTAAAATCGCATCTTATACATAGGCATTGCTGTAATTGAAACTGATAGTGATGATGGAACCGATCTTCATGTACAATGGCGGGTATCATTTTGAAAGCGATGTGCTCACGTATTTGAAACTCAACGGATATGCGGATAAGCTACGAACAGATGCAATTGCTTATTATAAAAAAGCTGCCTTGAGCCGGAGTGAATTTGATAAATATTCGCCATTTCGATTTGAGATTGGTATTGATTATGTAAATGCTACGCAAATCCGAGGTATAAGCTTTAATCAACAGCATAAATGTCTTCTTTTGTTTACTTATTGTTCAATATAAAATATGACTTAGGATCAGTTCGGTAGATCAACATCGAACACCACTTTTTTAATTCCTATATG